GTAATATTTTAAGAAAATCTCAATTTGTTTATTAAATATATATTTGCAAAACAAAAATATTTATTGAAAATTAATTTTAATGATTGCATGTTAAGAAAATCATAGATATACAATATGTTATTACAATAGGTAATTGATTTGTACGTTGATCTTGACACATATTTTTACTGTATTATTGATATAATATTTGTATTAATAATATATTGTAGATATAAAGTTATTTTGTATGTTTTTTTTGCAAAACACAGAAAATCCTAAATTATTAAATTTAGTAAACATTTTATCTCAATTTTAACCTTTTCTCCGGAGATTTACTGATAATTTTATATTTTTGACAATTTATTTGTTTTGACATCACTTTGACATACGTTTAGATGAAACTAAGAAAGAAAGAAAGAAAGAACGAGAGAGAGAGAGAGAGAGAGAGAGAGCATGATCAATCGGTTTTGTGTTATATTCTGGTCACTCGATTCTGATTAATATAACAAATCCAACACAACTGTCCCACAAAATAGGACACGAGTGCTCTCTCTCTCTCTCTCTCTCTCTCTCTCTCATATTATTTTCTTTCTCTGAACAAAAACTATAATTGAATAACAAATTAATATGAATTGTGTTCAACACTCGACTGTTTCAGACAAATACACAGACATTGAGAAAGTGAACACATAATCAAATATAAGACAATAGAGAGATATATATTTTTATTGTTTAGAAATTTTTATTTTATATATATTTACTCTCTGTTTGTCATTTTGATGACAATTCCCATGTATTTGTGATATGTATTTACAATAAAAATATATATCATTTCTAATGCAAAATGCATGTCATTTGTTATAATAATGATTTATGAATACTCTATACGAGCGCTCCATTCGCTTAAATTCAGACATTTATTCAAAAATTTTATTTCTCTTTTGTAAATCTCTTTTCGTATTATATTATAAAACAAATATAAATTATATTTATTTTGTTTTGTTTGGATTATTTCTCTGAGAAATGAATTAGAAATGAATAATACTTTTCATCAAAATAGATATAAAATTTTATATATTTCAAGATTTTTATTTTATTTTGCTATAAATAATTATATATGACATAAGTTTGAAATTAAACAGTTATTTCTCGCAAACAATATTAGAAATAAATAAATTAAATTTAAAATATATAATTAATCTAAATTTGACAGATATTACAATTCTTTACAATTTAATACTAATATAGTATCGAAATTAAAATAAAATGCAAATTGACAATAAATTAACATTTCAAAGACTGACATAAAACTGATTTAATTTAAACCTAATTTAAATTTCAATGAACACTAAAATTGATTTAAAATTACAAAAAACTAAAATAAGTGGAAAACAAGTAATAAAACGATTCTTGTAATCAATAACAACAGAATCTTCGCAAACAGTTATAATTGTATGACATCTTTGTCTCGAAAGCCAATCATACGTTTGGATCTATTATTAATAAAATATAGTTTTGCTGTCATATACTGTGCAGTCATATACTGTCCGAAAGCATCGGTGTGTTTGTGTAGATAACAGCTGGAGATAACATTAGATTAACACATGAACTAAAAGTATTAAAACATAGACTCAGTGGACAAGAAGTTTGTTTTAACTCCAGTGCCTCTCCGATGGCTATCCATCAGTACTGTAGAGCACAGGGATAGGGATGTGGACGACAAGAAGTGACTACTATTTTAGTCACTAATGCTAAAAGTCATNTATCCATCAGTACTGTAGAGCACAGGGATAGGGATGTGGACGACAAGAAGTGACTACTATTTTAGTCACTAATGCTAAAAGTCATGCAATTGTTACTTAGATATTCTCGTACCAAACCTACGCACAAACACTAATTTATAAGTTATAACTTATAAGTTATAACAAGCACAATACATTATGGCAGAGAAAAATAAAAAACACCCTACTCATCTTAATCACTATTATAACTTATACTAGAATATGGATTGTACTTGTTTATTAATATATTCTTATTGTTGATGTCGGTGTTTTTCCTAGAAATAAAGTATCGGTTGTTTTGAACTCAGAAATTGCACCAAAAAATCTAATATTGATTCAAAAAGGTTAAAAATAGGAAAGTGAATGCGAATAATGGTCCGCATTATTGGGTCTGAGAGATAGTGTCGGTTGTGACACAACTCCTGGGAATTTTGCTTCAAATATTGAGTTCCGATTCCTTCTCGGATCTGATTTTTAAGGCACAAAATATATCTTATATTGAAATCAGTCGACGAAAATACTTTGTCCTCATTTTAATGAATGCAAATAAAATATATTCAATTTACTTCTTCTCGATCTGTATTATAAGTTAAGAACAAAATAGAGATCAATGAATATATTGTCAGAGAGAGAGAGAAAGAAAGAGAGAGAAAGAGAGAGAGAGAGAGAGAGAGAGAGAGAGAGCACTCGTGTCCTATTTTGTGGGACAGTTGTGTTGGATTTGTTATATTAATCAGAATCGAGTGACCAGAATATAACACAAAACAGNAGAGAGAGAGAGAGAGAGAGAGAGAGAGAGAGAGAGATCGGACTCAAGTGAAGTACATCTCTAGTGAATTGTCTCTACATTTGATATATTACTTATATTTGACTTTTAAAGTGAGTCCCAAATGAATTTAATTTAATTATTTCTTGTTTTAAATTAAGTGACAATTTTAAATTTTTAGAGCACTTATAACTTATGTATATATTTATTGTATTTACAAAAACCACTACAAAATGACATTTTAAACAACGAATCCAATCAATAGTTTCAATTTGTAATTACATTTACGGTTTATTTAAATAAAATTGCCCACATTGAAATTTCTGTTATGGGAATTAATAAATAGGTTTTGATAAAATAAAAAAATATTTTTAATTTTAAAACTAACATTAAAATTACTATTTAATTAAATTTTAATTCAAAATAAATACATAAGAATCAATTGATGTGTAAAATAGTACAACACTTTTTTATAAAACAATATTTAATTTATATTTAATTTTTATAGAAAACAAATACTAAAACAACACGATGTAAATCTTGTAATAAAATATTTTCAACCAAGTATTTTCTGTAAAACACATTTCTATATTTTTGATAGTAAATTGTAATGTAAACAATGATGATCTTTACATTTATACATATATTATTCACATGCAGTATAACCCAAACAAATACTTATATTCTATATATTTTGCATTATTTTCTTGAATTATTGTTTGAAAAAATAATTATCTTCTTCCCTTAAGCTATGGAAAAGCAAAAACTATTTTTATATATACTGTACAATACATCACAGAATAATATTTCTGAACAAAAAATATTAAAAACACGATTCCTTGCATTTAAATGAAAAATACACGTTTACTTGTGTTCAGCGAAAAAAATAATTATTTATTATAAATAGGAAACAAACATGAAAAATACAAAACATACAAAACAATTGTATAAACTATTCTATAGAGAATAAAATGCAAATTAATGTGAATCTAAATAAATGTGTGTTTTTTTTGGCAAACATTTCGCACACAAAATAGTGATAGAGTTAACAGACATCGTGTCGATAGTGTTATCTAACCTTTCGGGTCGAGTGTCTAATAATAGCGACAAACAAATCATGTGATGTGTGTCTAAAATATTCATCGCCTAAACAAACGCTCCGTTAATACCTTTTTCTTGTATTAAAAGTACACATAAGTTTCTTGTTTTTATGAAATCATTGTAAGAATTAATGAATCAAATTATTGACACTAAATATAATGTAATTATCCATAAATCTAACAAATTGTTAAAATAATTTAAATTAAAAGTTTTCATTTACAGATACAACTGATCAAATAAATAACATGTAATACTGAATGTATTCAATTAAAATTTAACTATTTTTATTTTTTTGTAAATATAATTTTCGAAATAAACTTAATTATTTATAAGTTATTTAATTTTTATTCAATTAAATACAAAATATCATGTGAATGTTTGAATGTGATTAATTTATTATATTTTGATTTCTAGTAAAATTAATAATTTTAAATTATACGAAAACATGTTATTAATATTTTAGTTAAACCATTAGTGGCATTGAAATTTAGAGTTCCGATGTTTTTGTTTAAATTTGTATATTATTAGTGAAATTAAATGGTTATTAACTAAATTTACTTTTATAACTTTTTACAATTTCAAAAAGTTTATTAAAATAGTAATGATAACAATATGGTAAATTGTCATTGTTATAGCTATACTTATTTCGTATCAATTACTGGTAAATTAATGACAAAAGTTTTACTTTCGATGACATTGATATGAATTCTAATATAACAAAACCATTGAATATATAAATTCATAACTAATACATCCACAGAATAGAAGTTTTTTGTCAAACATTCAATTGTCATACAATTAATACAAAATCTAATGAATATAATAATTACAATATTTTTGGATCGAATTCAATGGTCTAATCGTTGAATATAAAGATTGAAAAGTTTACAAAACAACTCACATTCACTTCGTTTGGCAATATATTAACATTAATAAAATTTTAAGTGAGTTTAAAGCAAAACTTAGTGTTGTTTTTACAAACAGGGTTTTCACAACTATAGTAACTATTATAGCTCACGAAAACACTCGCGGAATAAGACCTTATTTAAGTTAGTTCAAAATGTATGATTACTTATAATTGACAACTTATTCATTGACTATTACTTTCTTATATATGCAGAGCATTCGACTTTGTTTTAACTCTCAGGTCCCTAATGTTCTGGTAATTCAATTTGTTTTCATATACTTTGTTAAACAACAATCAAATGTTATTTTTATATGAAAAACCTAACGATACAATTACTTGTCTATCAGAGCTCTTGTATTCTATGCAATTCTGGCGTCTATACACAGGCGGTGAGTATATTATAGTGTATTACTGTTATACCAGAAAATTTATAGCATAAATGAACATAATTTTTTAATGATCTCAAATGACGGCTACGGCATTAAAGTCACTGTCATGTACTGGATTTGTATGTATTACATAAAAATATAACTATGAAAACCATTAACAATAAGATGTGTTCTTTGTAGACAACAGTACCCCCGACCACAAACCAGAGCCAAATGATATGTCTGATCAATGCGTGCCAGAGATCGCTAAACCAAGTGGTCTTCGGGAAGAAGAAACGAAGCGTACGATCGACTGCTAATCGGACTAAAGATTATAAATATGTTATTCTGAAGACTGAGTTCACAGAAATCGAAGAAATGGATATTTGATTACAATATTTGAAAATCAATTTAATTTCTATTTTATTCAAGAATTATAATTCTTCACAGAATTTATTGTATTAGCGATGAAAGCGTTGTTTTGGTTGCCTTTTAAATCTTGTTGAATGAATTCATTGTAACGATTGTTTAGACATAGGAAACAGGTTATGATGGATGACGTCCGGTATTGACTTACCTGTGATATCACAACCACTTTATCACACAATGCGTCCAAAATATACACTCAAACTATTAGATAATCTATAAATATAACACATTTCCAACACTTATATTTTTTATTTTGAATATTTAATATAAAACAACAGTTAATGTTAAATAATATATTATAAATGCAAACTAATTATTAATGTTATTTTATGCAAATAAGTTGGTGTAGACTTTGATCGGTAATTATAACAGATATTATGATTATAAATAAATACAAATTGTTTTTTTGAATTCAACTCTTTATTTAAATAATTATATAATATAATAATTATAATTAAATATAAAATTAGAAACACGTCTTAAAGAATAAAAGATCGAAATATAAATAACAAATGTTTTGTTAACTTTTACTTTAGTGTTGTTTTTGTATTTTTTGCTATGAATTTACTCGAAATACTGGTTCACAATATTTGAATGTAAATTGAAATCTGAATGAAAGTAAATGCAAGACTTTTTTAGATGAAAAACTTAAATCTGAACTTAAGCTGCATTTCAAATATTAATTGAATTAAATATTTTTGGTATACATTAATGAATGGATATTAGAGTTTGTTTTTTGTAATGAAATTCACATTTCATTTATTTTGTTTCACTTATTATATTAAATATTCTTATTGTTTGTAATAAATAGTTATAATAGTTTTATCGTGTATTTTATTATATATTTATATATATTTCTATAATATTATAAACGAATTATTCATATTTTTTTAGTTTTAGTTTTTTCAATAATATCTTGAATTAGCAAACAATTGATTAAATTCTTTGAAAACTTTTACATTTTTAGTTTTCAAAGTTTCGTAAATATCATAAAAATTCATAAATAACTCGACGATCAAAATATCAATTTTTATGTTTAATAATAGAGAATATGAGTTATTATAACAATAAAACACATGAATTCTTACGAATTAAATAATAATTAATAGTAAAGAAAAAACAATTAATATATATATTTATATATGTGTTTATTTAACACTACTCGAAACTAATATAGTTTTCTCAATACATAAGAATTACACACAAATAAACACCGATTTTATAAGAGTGCTAAACAAAATGTGAATAAAAATTTATGTTTATATTCCCTTCTCTGAGAGAAAGAGAGGAAAGAGAGGATAGTTTGACAACATTTCGGAATTACATTTTCAAACAAATCAATTAATGGTTTAAATTTTCAACCAAAATAAAAACAAAACAAAATATATAAAAACTAAGCAAAAAATATAAGTTAAATATTAATATACTGTATATTTTTCGGTGCATTTATTTGTTCTCACATCAAATTTCATTGTAAAAAACTATTCAAAACAAAAACTTATGTATAAAAACACTTTTAATAGAAGAATAATTAATAGATTAGTAATTATTGGGTTAACTATTATTGAGTTTATATGAGAATATGTGCGACAATTTGCAGACAAAACAAACAAATGGGAAATTAAAGGCTTTGCAGTCATTAAAGATCGATGTAATGAGAGATTCCCTGATGTTATGAATCAGACATTTGGCATAAAATATATATTACTTTGTTATGAGAAGAATATTCTATAAGAATCTACATATTTGTTGCACA